CTATCACCTCGGCTGGGACGCTTCCTTCGAGCCATCGGAACTTTACCGCCGACCACGCGCTTTCCCAAGGCGGCGCACCAAATTCCGGCTGACGTTCCATTCGGTATGATTTAACGGGAATTGGGTTTGTTAATACGCTCGCCGCTTTCTCCTTGGGGGATGATCGATGGAGGTGGTTTCGCTGCTTGGGCTGGCTCGCGTTTTTCGTGTGTTCGCTCGATTCTTTTTGGGAATCGAGGAGCTGGGGTGCTGAAATGATTGTAGGGGTTTTTATTTCTGGGGTGGAGAAGCTGGGGGCTGTGATTTTGCGGCGATTTTTATTTTCGAAAGTCGGGGAACTGAGAAACTGAGATTTCGCGGCGATTTTTACTTTTGGGAAGTCGGGGACCTAGGAAGCTAAGATTTCGCGGCGATTTTTAATTTTGGGAAGTCAGGGAACTATAAAGCTGAGATTTTGTAGCTTTTTATGCTTTGGAAATTGAGATTTTCTAACGTTTGCGATTTTGGAGAAGAGACTTCGTAGCGTTAATAATTCTTGGGAAGTCGAGACGTCGCGGTTTTAATTACCTCAGTTGCGACGTTAAGTCTATCAGGATTTCAAATTGACTTTAGTTGAATTAATAATCTAGTACAAAATCACTCTGGCACCTGTACAAATTCCAGACAAATGACCGGTGAACATTAAAAAAGAATAAAAGTACGTAACAAGAGTGTTCCGAAAAATCGGCAATCAATCAATCAGTTCACTTACTCGATAAAACCCACCCCTCGAACATTCCAATTGTCCCGTCGCTTCCTTCATCGCCGATAAATTCAAATCAATCAAACTCGCCGTTAACCTGTTAACAACGAAATTTAGTTGCAAATATCCGGCGCGCGTAATCAAATGAAACAGCAATACACGTCGAGGCCAGTTAACAAGCCGCGCAAAAAGGGGCCAGAATTTCCGATGCACCCGATCGGATTTCCTTCGGTACAATTAAAGCGCCCCAGGTGAAACAAACATGTCGTCGCTCTCCTTCTTCCCTCGGACAGAAATTCATAAACGAATTTCCGAGCAGCGGCGAACGGTAGGTGCTCGACGATGTTTTTTCGGGTTATTAATTGCGCGCGCGGGTGTCCCGGGATATTTCGGGACAGGGGAAAAACAACGGGAGACGCGGGACCGCCGCGGCGAACGATAAATTTACGTCATTAATTCCCGGCAAAGCCGAATTGGCCGGCCTTTGTTGCGCCCCGCCGGCGACGGCGATAAATTTACGATTCCGATATCGGTCCCCGCTAAAAGGTTACCGACGAATTAATAACTGATCGACCCGCAGATAGCCGGCAGGCCGGCGAGCCTCCCGCAGCAATTATATCGCGCGTCACTCGCGCTCCCTTAATTCGTTAAAAATTTACCGGTCTTGATTGTCCAATTACCGAAGGGCTGCAATCTCGCGGCGTCCGCCTTCGAAATTGGTAATAGGGCTTCGAGATCGGATAACGATCCCATCGGTCCTCGTTAATAAACGGCTCCCTCGAACGGCCGATTAATTGAATCCTCCGAATGACACTCCGTTGGACGACTCGAAATATTTTATTAACGCGTCCACGAGAATCTTGTGATAGCTTCGAGATAAATGGTATTAGGAGGGGTTCTTGGTTATTAGATATTAATTATCGGTCTCTTGTAATTGTTTCGTTGGTGAGGTTTTGAGAGTGCTCGTGGTTTATCGGAGGAGACGACGAATGTATTTCTAGTAAATGTTTTAACAATAGTGCTAATGTTATTCAATTTTTGAAGATTTATTCTTTCTTCTTTGAACTGCGAAAGATTTGTTTAGATATTATTATTGATTCTTTACACTGTGATTGTTTCGTAACGAGATCTTGAGAACATTTGTGCTTTATTCATTATACTATCTAAGAGAAACTATTTATTTTCAAGATCATTTCGAATATACAATGCTTTTAGGATATCAATAACTGCGAGACAAACCGAAACCAGTAATTTCCACTGGTAACTAAATACCACTAAAATTATTCGATTTTCCGTACATCCAAATTTTGTGCTAAGGAAAATAAAAGATCGAAGAAATATAACATTTCTAAATTTCGCTAGGAATACTATAAAAATTAGTTGCAGTTGCTGATAGATTACAAAACAACCTGGAGTGCCAAGGGTTAATCCTTTGCACTCGAAAGGCGTCTTTTAATCGCCATTTGATTTGACCCAAGAAAACGATAAAATCTCAAATTCAATATTAAACTGTCTATAATGTATCAACACATGGAACATCGGAAGTAAATGGTTCTGTCACTTAGTTTACGCAAGGTATTTCTTTATGTTAGTTGTAAAAGATATCATCGATATTTCATCAGAAAATAATGAATATTTCTTGAGAAAAATATCCTCGAGTGCAAAGGGTTAACAGTGTCAACCAGTGAATTATGAATTCCAGCGATAAGAGTCTAGAAGGCGAGCCGAGAGCACAATTTCTCCCGAACAACACGCGAGACGGACGGCTCGCCGCGCGTCGAAGCTGTCTTAAGGTACGTCGAGTTTATCTTGACGTCGTCCGTGGCTCGTCGCATTAATTACCGAAAACCGTGGCAAGCCGGGCTTAACCGCGAAATTTATGGGATCGCAACGCCGCCGGCGATTGCGATCAGAGTTACATATAATGTCAGCCGGCAGTTCCGAAGATTAATAATACCTTAACCGCGGGATTTGTCGTTCGAAGTTGACGGCGCAGCGGGGAGAAGTTTCAGCGATTGCCTGGCGAGCCTGGCACCGGTTACTCGACCCCCGCCAACCCCCTTTCGCTCCGGAGACCTGGCTGCGCGTCGTAAATGGAACGACGTGCCTTGTAAATTGAATGTAACAAGTCGTATCTCCGCCGAGATCACCGGGACGCTGCACACAACGATCCTTGATCTCGCAAATAAATTTCACGGCGAGATTACGTTGTTAACCCTTAACAGACCGGAAGTGTTTCGAGTTTGCTCGCCGGCAAAAACTATCGCAACTCGGATAAGCGGGAACAAGTCCACAGAAGCGATCTGGCACGATACTTAACGTGCTAACTGGAAATATTACAAGAATAACACCGTTGGAAGTAATAAAAGCACTCGATCCGCCAGCCAGTAGAATAGCTCAATGTCTGATCAGACACTGAACTATCTCGCTCCAACTACACATATTTTCAAACTGAATCTTTCAGTTTTCAGGAACTTCTTTTACAAAATCTGGACGCTACATTCTATTGCTTCACACGTATATTGACTAACATTTGAACAGTATACATTTTGGAAAAGTCTAAGTACCTACAAATCCAGCTATATGTTAACACTAAAACTACCGTACCAGTCAAAATGAATGTTTCAGCTTTCCAGAACTTTTCTTTATAAAATCTGGACCCTACTTTATATTGTTTCACACGCATATTGACTAACATTTGAACATTATACATTTCGGAAAAATCCAAGTACCTACAAACCCAAAAGCTATACATTACCACTAGAACTACGTACCAGTCAAAATGACTGGTTTCGATTTGTTTATGTCGCAGTTATTAATACCTTCAAAGCATTGAACATTTGAAATGATTTAGGAAATAAATAGTTTCACTTACTACGATGAATATCCAAAGAAACTGAAAATAATCTGTTACAATTTTTATAGAGATTACATACCAATCGTATTAAATGCTCGGTAGTTCTAGTCATTTTTAAAGATCACGCTTACGTAATTCCCGTTCCTTCTCGCTCTAAACTCACCCTCCCCGGTCCCCGCATCGCACGCCCAACCATAAAGCCAGTAAAACAACGGAAGCTCATTAAAAGATACTCGATTGGCTCGTTAGAGGCGGTCCCACGACCATTCTCTGATATTACTTGTTCGTTGAATTATGTAGCCCCGCTGCGTCCGCAAAGCTCGCGCGCCGCGGGTCGCCGAAGGAAACGGATGAAAGGTGAGGAATGGCCGGGGGAGTACGGCCGGCGTATCGAGCGGCGACTGCGATCTCGCCGCCGTACGTCATGTACAATGCCAGCTCGGGCAGTTTTTACGGATATTGCATCGACCTGCTGAACGATATTGGATCCGCGGCGGGCTTCGATTACACCATCAGGGGATCGTTCGACGAGCATTACGGGCACAGGGACCTGAGGAACGGCAGCTGGAACGGCATGGTCTACGAATTAATGAAGAACACGTCAGACATCGCCGTCGGCCCGATATGGATCACGTCTGACAGGGCCGAGGTAAAAATATTGAATCTTCCGGCGGGCCGAAACTAATAAAAGTTCCCCGAGATTGACTGTCGGATCGATACCCGTGAAATTTTCAGGGGACCGGCGCGCCGCGAGCCCCGATTAACCGGATCACGATTATCCGGGGATCCTCTGTGTTCCTTCCGGAGTATCCGCGACGGTTTTATTGCTCCTCGCTTGTAAAGGTGCGCGCTTCGCGAACGAGTCGCGCGCGGGGCTCGACGCGACGCGACGGGGAAGAGAGATTATTCTTCGCGTCCTATTAGCTTGATGAAGTAACTTTTAAGTGCACGCTTGAACGGGAGACGGCGAGGCATGACGAAGGATGACGCGTCTGTAGCTTCTGATCGAATTATTAATCCTTCGGTGGCTCGATGTGTTACGTGAATCGCGCGTTTACGGACAACTTGCGTCTGCTTTTTAGAAGTATTGGGAATTGTCTTTGTAGAAGATTTTCTCAACTCGGTCGCTTTGTTCTGAGATGAACGATTCGCAGTCGAAAGACTGTAGTCAAAGTCTGGTTCAATAGTAGCATCACGAAGTTCGATATTTAATACTGAACCTCGTGTCATCAATATGCAAAGTATTGAAATAAAGTACTTCTAATTAGAACAAGTTTCTTAAGATTCGAAGGGTGTCTCGCAGCTCTGCGAATTTAATTGAAAATCTCCGCAGAAACGCCTGGATAATCTAAATACTCTCAGAATAAACATTCCGAAATAAGTCAATCCGAGTCCAGTAGTTTCACCGTTAATCCATGCTTGAATGATCGTTAATCTAGTTTCAAACGCAAGATCCGCATCTCATCAGGATCTTGATTTTTTGAATTCGATTTCCGTTGAATATTCCCTGAACAAAGACTTCCCAGCGCAAAGAATTCTGCCATCTAATCAAAGTTCCAGCAACCCTCGCTGCTGAACTCGATCTCCTGCCCTTTCCGCTTCCGTTTCTCCCGAAATCCTAACAAGCGCAACGATCATCAGCCCTCTGTTTCCTCTCGCAGGTGGTGGACTTCGCGATCCCCTTCGGTCGGAGCGGTTTCACGGTAATGATGCTGAATAAAAGGAAACGCGTGCCGTTCCTGCGTTTCCTAATGATCCTGGACATCGAGATCTGGCTGAGCCTGCTGTTCGCGTTCCTGTTAACGATGCTGCTGTTGCTCGTGCTGGAGAGGTACTCGCCGTTCAGCTATCGGAACAATTGGCCCGAGCACCGAGACGAACCGGACGATCGATTCGCCACTTTGAGGGGCTGCTTCTGGTTCGCGTTAACGTCGCTGACGCCCAACGGCGGCGGCGAGATTCCGAAGAATCTGTCGGGCAAAGTGGCCGCCGCGACCTGGTGGCTGTTCGGGTGCGTCGTGGTCGCCGCGTACGGCGCGAACCTGGCCGCTTACGAGTCGCTCGAGAGATTGGAGAAGGGCATCGAGTCCGTCGAGGATCTCCTGAAACAGTATCGCGTCTCTTACTCCACCGTGGAGAACTCCGCCGCGCAGAGATACTTCCAGGCGATGAAGAGGACCGAGGAGATGCTTTACGGGTGAGCGACCCTTTGTCACCAGGACGAGGAATCGTCGTAGGGGTTGTTCGGTAATCATTTGCAACGCTGATTCCTCGCCGATTTCGATGGAATTGAAGTATGGTGTTCGAGATTTGATTTTGATTTTGATTTTTAACAGTTAGCAACCGAATGGGGAGATCTCCCAGTTTTCATTTAGCAACATACCTTTTACTCTGTTTATCTTTTCTTTTGTTATTTAGTGAGTCTTGACTGGGATTATTTGCATTCATCAGATACGGTTCTTGTTTTTACAAGACATGGTTTCTAACTAAATTAATTGAATGAGTATAATTGAAGATAAATTCTTTTTAGGTCGCCTAAGTGTTAACATACATGTCACCAGTTTAGACTCAGTTTGCCAGATGTTCGCAGTAGATTTGGTAGTGGGGAGTTTTTGTACTTATTTGATAAAAGAGTAATTCTCGGATGATCTTTGTTTTGATGTATGTTGTTAATGAAGTAGGTTTGAAGGGTTGAAGAGAGCGAAGGGTTGAAAGGATTAGAGATTATCGTAGGAATTAGCGAAGGCATTGATTCGGTAATACGGAGAATTAATTGAAATATGGCGAACTTTGACAATTTGGAATACAGGATTTTATGTCCCGCGACAAAGAACATGTGTATCGTGAATCCGTGAGCAAGGATAACATCTCGCAGTGATTTCTAGCAGGAAATTACTTTTCTGCCCGCGGTGGCTCCAGAATAACCTCTCGTATGTCACGTGTATTCTTCTCTTTTCCCTGTATCCCCGCCGCACTCGTATCAAAGCCTGCTATCGCGCGATACACGATGTTAAGACCAGAAGCTGTAAGCAATAAAGCTAAGTCTTACTTACCTCGGCAAGAACGTCAATCCCTCGACTCAATATTAATGCTGATCTCCTTGTTTTCGATTCTAAAACAAAACATAGCAATGTCAACCGTTCGACTAGGGCAGAATGTGCAAAGTGAAAAATATAGTACCACCTCACCTATATTAACACTAGAACTACCATAGATCAACACAACACGATTACCGAACAAACAGATGCTTCTCCAAGAAACTACGAACGAAATCAATGTAATACGCGAATCGAATGATAAATCACCTGAAATTCCAACAGCACTCGCGGAGTTCCAACAGGAAAACGTCAAAAGAGTCGTTTCGACTGCTCGGTAGTTCCAGCGTTAAGTAGGAATCGCGCTAAATCTTGCCGGGGCGCAAACGAATCCCGTCCGAAATCGAAAACGTAGAATCGGAGAGAGAGGAAAAACGTTGCAGCGTTTGGAGACGAATAACCCTGGACGAGAACACGCCGGAGTGGAAGAGATCCGAGTACGCCGTGTGGGATTATCCGCTGGAAGACAAGTTCACGAAGATGTATTACGCGATGGAGCAAGTGGGATTTGTGCGGGACGCGGCGCAAGCCGTGAAGATGCTCCGGGAAGTAAACCGCACTTTCGAGTTCGCTTTTATAGCGGACGCTATGACCATAAAATACCTGATACTGACGAACTGTGACTTCAGGCAGGTCGGCCGTGAGTTCAGCAAGAGGCAGTTCGCGTTCGCCGTACAAAAGGGTTCGCCGTTGAAGAGGAAAATCGACGACGCGTGAGTCTCCGCCCCGGACTTTTACTCCGGCCGTTCTCTCGTCTTCCGGTCGTTTTATTCGACCCGCGCGCCTCCGCCTCTTTGTCATTCATTTAAGCGGCCGCTCCGCTCGCCGATCACACGGGCCGACGCGGCGTCTGTGAACTGTCTTCCATGTTTTTATCAATGTTCCGGGCTTTATTGGATTCCAGTTTATCGTGCAGGTCCGCGACTTCTGCTGTTGCTCTCTGATAAGGGAGAATTAACCCCTTGAGGATTTGGGCTTAAGGTTCTTTAGATACGGATCGCTCAGCAGCCGATGCGGTTGAGAAAATTAATGTTTGGCTTGTGATATGATTATACAATATATTCAGAAGCTATGAAAAGAAGGGCTTTCTGACCTAGAACCGCACTGGCTTCTAAGCGACTCGTATAACGCTGAATTATGGAAAGGAGACAATCGTCTATCTGTGTTCCGTGACTAGAGTAATTAAGTTGTTACTGCTCTCGAGCTTGGACGAAGTCTTATGGTATTCCAGGTTGAGCATTTTATCTTCTACGACAGAATTTCCATTACCTTTGTAGTAGTTAAATGGCGAATTCTTTTGCGAATGTAAACTTCTGTAAATAGAGTATTAAAGAGGTATTAACGTTCTATGAATAATTCTGTTAAGCTCTTGTCTTTAGGAAATTAAAATTTTCGGACTGAGTTATTGACATCAGAGCCTCAAGTGCCAAGAACCGTGGCTACGAAATTACGTACAACACTGGAATTCGTTACACGTAGTGTTTACACAGGTCGACGAAGTTTAATTGAATAACGCGAGACTCCTTTGAAGCTTTCCAAACGCCGCGAGAATACTCTGGTCAACGGAGTATCGCGAGTCCGCTCGGCGCGCAGTTTCATATAAATAATTAACATTTAATTGCAGGATCACACGTCTGGGGATCCGAGGTAGATTAAAGGAGCTCGAGAGAAAATGGTGGGACGAGAACCCTTTGAGGGCGAATTGCCCCGCGGACGAGGACTTCAATGCAGGCTTCGGCCTCGACCATTTGGCAGCGGTATTCTCGTTGATCCTGGTCGGCATATTGCTAGCCGTGCTGATATTATGCCTGGAGTACGCGTGGCACACGCGGCAGCTCAGGCGGCGCGACAAAATGGCGCATCTCTTCGTCAGGAACACGATGGCGCGGAACGAGGCGCGCGGGAGTCGATGAAACGCTCGAAATCGAAGAAAAATTTGCAAATTTAAAGAAAAATTAACTTATAATTGCACCGTAGATCTCTATATGAATGCAGATTTCCAAGGATCTTACTGAAAAAGCAGAATTATTATAGAAATTCACGAGTTTGTCTCGAGGAAAGTTACGAAAACTACATTTTAGATACTTCACGTATTGTATTCTATGCGATTTTGCGATTGTAAATCTCCCTTGTGTGCACAAATATCCGCAGTTCTCTCCTAAGCATCCTTCGGTCGTTCGACTACGTGTTTCGAAAGGACCTCGTGTTTTTCCGCGCGTAAATACGATGTACCGTTTTGTAAACGGCGAAGGGAACTACTGAAAACACCGGAGCGAACGGAACAATCGGAACGAGCGCGGGAAGAGGGAAAAAACATTGTCTCGCGCGAGCATATATTTCCCCGTTCGTTCGGTCGGATTAACGTGTCACGTAGCAACGAGCGAGTGGAACGGAGATACAGAGATTTTTCGGTATTCCCGGCAATTAGCTAATCTGTTTCCTCGCCCCCCTCGCCGGCGACAATGAGAAACTCTTCCGGCATTGACGTTAAAATCGATGCCGCCGTTCCGTTTCGTCTTTTTCGTCGGGGGCCACGGATAATTGGGCAAACACGCCGCAAACAAATATGCGCGGAACTACCCGGCAAACGCGAAGAAGCGTGCCCGAACGCTGAAAAAGCTGGAACAAATTTTCGGTATTCGAATTTGTTTATTTAATTAGCTGGAGATTGCCGATCGTAAATTGACGTCGGTCGTCCGCTGAATTTCCCGGTAACGAAACACGCGGATACTTTCGTACACTGGCGCTGCGAGTTTACCTTTACCCTTTCAGAGCCCTCGTCCTGATAGGATCCGCTGGAATCCCGCAAGTCATCCTACTCGAGCGCGAATCCATTAACAAAAGGGCACAGACTCCGCAAAACCGGAACAAGAGAACCAACTAATTCATCGTATTATACGAATATTCAGTTGGCAACCGAGGAAAATCGCAGTCTAATGGTACTCAGGATTACCGAAGACTCTTCGAAACCATTCGATTTACCTCTACAATCCACGAGCGTCCGCTTTCAGGTGGTAATTCGCGCGTGAATAAGCAAATGCAACAAACCACGACGATGTAGACGATACAGATCCGCAATAAATTACCAAACGAATACCTAAAACGAGTAAACGCCCGATCCATCCTATGACACGCGAAAATCCGTCAAACCCTGGTGTCCAGGAGGAACAGAAAAAAGTAAGTCAGCAGGGGATCGTTCGCGACGCCGAGTCACGTCACGGAGCTATCGATGATCGCGTCGAAATGAAAGTTTCAAGCGTTTCGCCGCGGAAAAACCAGCGATCGACCGGCCAATTACCAGATAACGTGATCTAGGCGGCACGCGAACGGCCGTCATGCGAATCCCGCGGTCTTTGCGATTCTCGAGCGTTCTCAGAGCGTTCTGAGCCGGCGTAGTCCAGTCGTCGGGCGATCTGGAATTGTCGAAATTCGAAAAACGCAACGGAGGCGGAAGAGAGGAAACGAAAAACACGTGCGAGAGGATCGCGTTCGCCGGTGGGAAATTGATTAGGTCATCCCCGCGGCAACCGATGCGCAAACAGAAATAAAATGGAGCGTGGCACACACACACACACGTAAACACGGGCTCGTGTGTCTACGTTTCGAGGCCCCGGACTCAGTTGCTTGACCGATTTCCGCGCGCCATATACGGCGAGGCGTCGCCGACTGCGATCAAGACCGACCGCGCCGTTTCATCGATTACCTGTCGTTCACGGGACACCTGTAATTTCGACGCGAGCTTTCTCCGGCCGGGGTGAGCGACGAACTTTGCCGGGAGTCACGAGAGAACGTCCGGGGCTTCAAGATACGGGCTAGGATCGCGGCAGCTTGGTTTTTCAGTTTCAAGTCTCTGAAGTCTGCTGAGATGATACCAGTGTACTTTGCGGCCGCCTTGTGCGGTCTCCTCGGACTCTGCGGCGAGCTTTCGGTCCACGGACAAGGAAACGTCGCGGCTGATAAGGAATCGAGCGCTCGGGCCAGGCCGGTCAATCTTTGTGAGTGTTCGGAAGCGATTTGACAGTGTTCCTTGGCGCGGAATGGGGTGCAGTCGAATCGAGAATATAGCGATTGATTGATTTGGTAGTTTGGTAGTTTGGTAGTTTGGTAGTTTGGTAGTTTGGTAATCTAAGTACCAGTCGCTCAGAAGCTGACGCAGTTAAGTCTTTTTTGATATTACCTGATTATTTCTGAATTTTAATACAATAAATAACATTCCTTAGTTATTCAAGAATTTACTTTTATAGCTTCCGAATATCTTGTACAATCATTTCCGAAGCTACAACACTGATTTTCTCAATTTTCCTTTTCTAGACCCAACGCATTAGCTTCTGAGCAACTCATACATGTCAGTAATTACTTTTAATATTAGTCGATTACTAAAAAATCACTTGCAAGCTGAGAAACAGAGCAGAAAGTAACGTAACGATAATGAAGATATAAAATATATATAAATATAAGATAGAAACCTTCAATGCAAATATTATTTTCACTGCAACTACCTCGAAGAATTTATAAGAAAGAAGTATCTACTATCAAACAATCATACGTTTATAACGACTCTAGTAACGTTGCCCATCTCGCACAATTTCCAATACAACGAAACCTTCAATTCGCAAAAGCACGTCTAACCGTCTCTACCGTTCCGAGCTAGTCATCATCAGCGACAAGGGCAACAAGGTGACAAACCCGAGTATCGCGACCGCGCTGAACGCGATCAAAGAAAAGCACCCGACGCACCTAGGCAAGGTCTGGACGATCGAGGTGAACGAGACCAGCATGAACGACACTCTGGACCAAATCTGCACCACCTGGGACTCCGCCGTGAACAGCAACACAGTCCCGGACCTGGTCTTCGACGCGACAACGGCGGGTCTGGGGGCGAAGATATCGAACTCGTTCACCGCTGCCCTCGGGATACCCACCCTCTCCGCTCAGTACGGTCAAGAAGGGGACTTGATCTACTGGAGGAACCTGAGTCCCGACCAAAGTGGCTACCTGGTCCAGGTGATGCCTCCGGGGGACCTGGTGCCGGAAGCCATCCGGCAGCTGGCGATCCAACTGAACATAACGAACGCGGCGATCCTCTACGACGAGAACTTCGTGATGGACCACAAGTACAAGAGCCTGCTGCTGAACGTGCCGACCAGACACGTGATCAACGAAGCCTCCCGGAAGCTGGCGGACATAAAGAGACAGCTGCCTCGCTTGAGGGACCTGGACATCGTCAACTACTTCATCTTAGGGGACATCAGCACGGTGAACTTGGCCCTGGAGGCGGCGGAAGCCTTGAACTTCACCGGCAGGAAGTACGGTTGGTTCCTGCTGACGCTGGAGAGCAAGGTTTGGCCCACGTGCCAATGCAGTAACGTAACCGTCTTCTTCATGAGGCCCGAATCGGGGGACAAGGGCAAGCTTCTGGAGGCCAGCCTGCCGAAGCCTCTCATCTCCTCGAGTTTCTACTACGACCTCGTTCACCTGGCCGTGAAGGCGATGAAGCTGGCGCTGAACGACGGCGACTGGCCCGCCAGGCCGAAGCAGATCACCTGCGACGAATACAACAACACCAACACCCCAGAGAGGGGGCTGGACTTTCTGGCCAAGCTGAAAACTGCTTACGAGGACATGACGCCCAGCTTCGCGGGCATCCACTGGGGCACGAAGAACGGCGAGCACCGCGCTCGCTTCGAGATGTCCATTCACTTGGTGAACATCGAGGACGGCGCTCTTTCCTCGACGACCGACAGCGGAGCCTGGAACGCGAGCATCGGCTCGCCCTTGCAGGCAAGTCTCTAAAGTGTGACGTATAGCCGATCGGAGGTTCAGAACGATCGCTGCTCTGTCTCGTTCCTATCGCTAATTGATTCCTTGATCTCTTCTGCCTTGGTCGAACGCTGTTCTGTGAACGTGATGAATTTCACGGTTGGAAGATGACAGTCGTCTTTCTGGGAACCTTTACGTAGGAACAGGTTTCGGGGATTTTTCGGGTGAATGTTTGATCCTCTGCACTCGAGAGGTGACTCTCAGTCAGCACTTGATCTGATGCAGTGAAATTATAAAGTTTGATATTTAATATTGAAGTGTATAATGCATCGGTGCGAGAAGTATTGAGATACAAACGCTTCGTTTCTCCTGGAGTTCATTTCAAATATCATCTTTGTCTAGTTAGAAAGTGTTAATTTCGGTAGAAATACTTCTGAGTGCAAAGGATTAACCTAATTGTAGTGATGCAATTATAAAGCGACTAGTTGCTCCTGGCAGATACCATGAAAGGCGTTACGCTTTGCGTAATCTATATATTTATAGAATAAGGGCGCTTTTCACCCCTTATCCTGCTATAGTCTTTAACCCTAATCGGACGATGTGACTGAGTCACGTTTGAACTTTTTACTTAAAGTTTTCGATTATTTCATATTGCATTTCCAGAAGTCTTTTTGACCTTTTAAAATTTGAGCCCTATAACCAAAAACAATAGCATTTTGATCGTTCCTTATTCTCATAAGTGACTGAGAGTAACATTGTGGTACGATTATGGTTAACATAAACGCTGAAGATCCAGTCTACCCTCGAACGCGTGAACGAACGCTACCACGAATCCAAAGATGGTCAGGCTAATTTCAGATGGATCGACGCGAGCGCTCACGCGAACAGTTTAATTTCCCGGAAAGGGTGGTTTAATATTTATCGCGTCCGAAGGCAGATTGATTGAGCGGACTGTGCGTGACATTATCGACGGAAATTAGGTCGGTCTATCGATCTACGAGCGACGAAAAAAACGGCGTTCCTTTTTTGAGTCACGCGACGACGGGGCACGGGGCCGGGAGGAGGGGGAATACGGGCTCGATAATCGAATGTCACGGATGAAGCGCGATACGTTTGTACGAAATTCGTGCGGTGAAATTGCGGTCGCGGTTCTCGCGCGATAATCGAGGCTCGAGCGTGGATGGCACAAAGGAGGGAACGGAAATGTGGAAAGCGTGTTCGATTGATGAGAGATGGAGGGCCGTGCTCGCGTTTCCTATCCTTCGAACCTGTTATCATTTCCCGTGGAATTCAATAACGCCAAGCTCCGCTCAAGACTTTTCTGTATAATCTTATTCCTCTTTTCTTGCCTCCCGTTCCTCTGTATTTATCGATTCTGCGCTGGATAAGTGAATTTTTGTGTAACTCTGCTTTATAGGTTTCTCTGGCGACTCTTGGTTGCCACTTGAATTTGATAGAGAACTGTGAAGTTTGGTAGTGTTAACACTAGAACTACCATTTAATATGATTAATGTGTAACCCGTAGAAAAATTGTAACGATAGATTGTTCTCGGTTTCTTCAGAGTTCGTTATAGCATTCGAATGAAACTATTTTCAAGATCATTCTTCAATGGTTTCGAGATATCAATCTTTAAACAAACGGTAGTTCTAAACTGCGTAAGTTTTGAAATTGATTTTCCGATAAGTTAGTTTTAAAATATGTTGCCGACAAAACTTGCAAAGGGTTTCTCCAATGTTTCATTTCACAAGATCAGAGTATTCGACCGTCGAGATGTAAGTTTATTTTTAAAATCTACCGTGTTGTTAATTCCGTATTAAAAAGTTCTGTTGAAAGTTACGTGAAGCTGTCATTTAACGGTAGCAGATCGAGCGATAACTCTCACGATATTTTCAGAAGCAATCGTTCCCCGCTAGCCGCTCGCCACGTTCATTTGTCAAATGACTGTTCCCCGTCGAAGATAAGACGCCATCGTGTTCAAGCACGTTATTACTTAAGGAAAACGATCCGCCGCTGGAAGCGATTCGTTGGAATTACAGCCGAAGCAATTCCTTAGCGGTGACCCTTGACCGGCACCGTGGCCGTATCCTTGACACGCGGCCGGCACGTTTATTTACACCTGTTACCGATAACGGCTGCTGGCTCTGATGAAGATAGCGCATGCGACTTTATTTGTTTATCGAATACATAAACGCGACTGCCGTCCGCCGTGTAAACGTGCTCCGGCATTCGCGCGGGTTATTTCGCGTTGAATGTTTCCGCGGATTCTCCGGTTCGAGCAATTAAAGCCTGTAATACGTGGGATTCGCCGGGAGCCACTGGATTCTGGGGCCGCGGGAACGCTGGAAATTTATTCCTATTACTCTCGAGTCGCAGTTTCATTCATTATACAAAGTGAAAAAGTTCATCGATGAAACGGACCCTTTGAACTGATAAGTAACCGAGTTTCGATCCCATTCCATCCTTCCTCGTTCCCTTAACACGCTGACTGGCCGAGGACAATTGCTGCCTGAAATAATTCACGTCGAATGGGAATATTTCATAGTTTAATATAAGAGTTCCAATACCAGATAATAACTCTTCCTATTTATCTTTGTTACGAAGGTATATTCAATCATTGATGTAATACGAAGCACTCGAGATCGAAACAGTGAACGTTAACCTCCCTCCTGCGAGCTAAACTAATAAAGGTTAAGATCGAATATTAAACGATATATAATATCTAACATAAAACATTAAAATACCAAATAGTAAATAATAAACAATAACAGTAACCCACGAAATCCAAGAAACTCCGCGTTCCGCAGGTGACGAGCGACGCGGTGATGAACGCGTCGGCAGTGAAGAGCTACCGGGTGGTCACGGTGCTGCACCCGCCGTTCGTGATGTTCAATCAGAAGAAGAACGAGTACTACGGGTTCTGCATCGACCTGCTGAACGAGATCAGGGAAACGATCGGGTTCCAGTACGAGATCCGCGAGACCGAGGACAAGATGTACGGGAACCTGAACTCCAGCGGCACCTGGAACGGCATGATGAACGAGCTGATCATGAAGCGAGCCGACATCGCGCTCGGGTCGCTGTGGGTCACCGCCGAAAGAGAACGAGTGGTCGACTTCACTGTCCCTTACTACGATCTGGTCGGCCTCTCCATTCTGATGCTGAAGACGAAGACGTCCACCTCGCTGTTCAAGTTCCTCACCGTGCTGGAGAACGAGGTCTGGTTCTGCATACTGGCAGCCTACCTCTTCACGAGCGTGCTGCTGTGGATCTTCGACCGCTGGTCGCCGTACAGCTACCAGAACAACAGGGAGAAGTACAAGCACGACGAGGAGAAAAGGGAGTTCAACTTGAGGGAGTGCTTCTGGTTCTGCATGACATCGCTGACCCCGCAAGGCGGCGGCGAGGCGCCGAAGAACCTGTCCGGCAGGCTGGTAGCCGCTACCTGGTGGCTGTTCGGATTCATCATCATCGCGTCCTACACCGCGAACCTGGCTGCGTTCTTGACCGTCTCCAGGTTGGAGATACCCATAGAGACTTTGGAGGATCTCAGCAAACAGTACAAGATCCAGTACGCGCCGATCGTCAATTCGCCGGCGTACGTCTACTTTCATAGGATGGCTGCTATCGAGATGAAGTTTTACAAGTGAGTAGCACGAACGTCTCGCGAGTATGCTGATTTTCGAGATGTAGCTACAGTTGATTCGTGTTTTCGAATTGCAAGGAGTAAAAGTGTCTTCTCGTTAAGATCGGTTATTGGACATTGAATTTCGCGAGTATGCTGCTTTTTGAGATGTAGCTACAGTTGATTCATGTTTTCGAATTGCAAGGAGTAAAAGTGTCTTCTCGTTAAGATCGGTCATCGGACATTGAATTTGATTTTTGAGGGATTGATCGACGAAAGTGATGATCCGTACAGGATTGTTTTCTATGTTTTTGTGTTGTTTTTGTATCTATTTTGCGCAATTTTGAGCTTTCAAAGTTCTTGCGAATGTATGTAGAGTTGCACAGGGTAGCTAGCATTGATCGAATGTTCGTCTGCATCGTGTGCGTCCAGCATTTGGAAAGACATGAGCCTGAACGACAGCCTGTCGGATGTGGAGAGGGCGGATCTAGCGGTTTGGGACTACCCGGTCAGCGACAAGTACACGAAGATGTTGCAAGCGATGAAGGAAGCCGGCTTCCCGGCGTCGACCGAGGAAGCTCTGCGACGCGTCCGGCGCCTCGATTCGAACAACGAGTTCGCTTACATAGAGGACTCGACGACCATCAAGTATCTTACCATGACGAACTGCGATTTGGTTCAAGTGGGGGAGGATTTCTCGAGGAAGCCGTACGCGATCGCGGTGCAACAGGGGTCGCCGCTGAAGGATCAGTTCAACAATGCGTACGTAAACAGTATTCGGTCGATGCTTGCTCGAGAAGGGATCGACCACTGATATGTCAAACTCTTTCAATTTTCTTTCAAATGTACTGGATTCAAAGAAGGTAACGTTAAACCTGTAATAAAAGATATGCAAATCTAAAGTCTAAATTAAGAAAGCTGAATTTGTACGTAGAGAATGAGAAGGGGCTCGAATTGAAGGATCCAATTTACTCGCGTGTCGCTTCAATTACACACTCCTCTGACATTCTGTTGCTTTTTCATTTCGCCAGGATCTTGATACTGCTGAACAAAAGGAGATTGGAGAAGCTGAAGGACAAATGGTGGAAGAGGAACCCGGAGAGAAAGGACTGCGACGCGGAGAACAGCCAAAGCGACGGCATCAGCATCCACAACATCGGGGGCGTCTTCGTGGTGATCTTCCTGGGCATCATCTTCGCGTGCATCACGCTGGCGTTCGAATACTGGTACTACCGTCACCGCACGGACACCGTGAAGATCGATCGGGGCAGTCCGATCAAAGGGAAAATCACGAAAATAAAGCCAATCAAGTTCAACCTGCAGCCCGCGCCCACTCATGGCTTTCAAGCGGCGCAATTCAGGTCGAGATTTTGAAGAGATCTCGCTTTTCAAACAAAAAAAACAAGAAATGAAAAGCATCAACAGTCTGATGAAAGACCGCGCAGCGATGCAACAGAATTTTATACGTTCCGCATGTATCGCGATTATTTCGGATGAATTTTATAAAGCCTAAGGGGTGGAAAATAGAGAAATCGACGAATGATCGACAAGAGACAACGTCAGCTTTTGCAATGCCTTTATTTGGTTACTCCCTTCGCGTACATTACTTCGCGCAGAGAACACATATTCCGATTTTCGTTTCTTTTCATCCCATCTCCGTTCTTATCCCGCTTGTTCGGTGTGTCGCGTGGACTCGCTCGCGCGCGCGCGCGACGCGGTTCGTCCGTCGTTCCCGCGAGCAACCGTTGCCGCGCGCCGCTCTCCTCTCCGAGGAAACATCCCCGCGACGACCCTGGTCTCTTAGCGTATAATATATATATATTTGATTTATATATATTTATCCTGGTTTCTCTCTCGTTTGAAAGGCATCATCTTTCGTTCTCTAACAACGTTTCCTCGTTCACGCCGGGGCCACGGCCGCCGGATTTACGCGTTTTCATTTATTTCTTTGTTTGTTGGTTTGTTTTTTTTTCTTTCTTTATTTATATTCCTCCTTTTTTAATTCTTTTCCCTCTTTCTCACGTGTACATTCTCTCCCTCTCTCTCTCTCTCTCTCTCGCTCGCTCGCTCGCTCTCTTTCTCTCTGTCGCTCTTTTATTCTCTCACACTCTCTCGCACGCTCAGTTATCCGATATATTTCCTCTGAGGGAGCACAGGAAAAGCATTGGATACTGGGGGATTCGGTTTCATTGGAAACACGGTTTCCGGGTTCGGACAAAGGTGGAACGGGGCATCGGTTAGGGCATTAAATCTTCTAGGGAGTTAAATTATAATTAGGGGAGATACAATTAAGATAATCCATTAATAATTACGAAAAGAAAACAACAAGAAAATAGAACAGTACTTCTTCGACGATGGTTCTTTTATGTTTCAATTGTCGTGCGGTACTTCGACGTCGTTTATTGTTTTTCCATCTTTTTTCTTCTTCTTCTTCTTCTTCTTCTTTTTCTTCTTCTCTCCTACGTCCGTTCTTCTTTTCCCTCTTCTCTCGCTTATAAGTACACCGTCCTCGAATTGAACCGCTTCCTCGTTTTCGTTCCTGTGAACGCGGCGCACTTCCTCCTCCTCCTCCTCTTCCTTCCTCCTACTTTCTCCTCCTCCTCCTCTTCCTCCTTCCTCCTTCCTCCTCCTCTTCTTCTTCTTCTCTTTCTGTTTTTTGAGAGGACTTCTTTCGTGTTTCATGGTAACCGGGACTTGCCTCTCCCTCTTCGAATTCGCAACGAAAAAACTCGCACAGAACGTCTCGTAGATCGGACGAGAAACAGAAAAAAGGAAAACACTCTG